TTTACGAGTTCTTCGATAAGGGCGGTGATAATTGGCTTTGAGCGAAGGATTTCTTCTTGATCCTTGTTTAGGGTTTTCCCCTGAGATAGTGCCTCTTCCATCGTGGTAATTCGGTTTTGTTTCTTGCGGAGAGTACGGAGACGCTTGCTGATGAGAGCCAAGATTGATCCTTCTGTGGCGGCCATGTTGTGGATATGAGGGATGTGAACGACGGAGAAAGATTACAACGGCGGAGAAAGAAAACAAGAAATAGGATGAAAGTTAAGTTTCTTTTTTCTTTTTTGTTTCTTTAAGATATGGGATGAGATACAACAACCTACCTACATATATTTATAGTCGATAACTTAGGTCGTATACGATATTTTGGAACATTCTAGATCGGAGATACAAATTTCCATAATACTATTTATTATCTATCTATACTAATATTTGCGAAGTCAAAAATCCAATGTAGCATCGTGAGAGCCTCTTTCAGACCTGTCGTGCCGAAAATACCCTTAATGACTCTCAAAATTACGGTGGAATGCTATTGAGTATTTACAAAATCGGTGGGCTCATCATGTTTTTTTCGTAGCCCATAAACATGATGAGTGGTTCAAATATATATATAAGCCCATCGATCTCTTTCTCATAAGACCTAAACCCTAACCCCTCTTTATTCGCGAGAGAAGAAAATTGAGCAGCCATGGTTTGCCTCAGGCGAGCGACGGTGGACGATCTACTTGCGATGCAAGCCTACAATCTCTTGTATCTTCCTGAGAACTACCACATGAAGTATTACCTCTACCGTATCCTCTCATGGCCACAGCTTCTCTAGGTCGCTGAGATGGAGGAAGAGAGCAACGAGTGCCATGACCATATCACTTCTCTCGCCGTTCTTCGTACTCATCGGAAACTCGGTCTCGCCACTAAGCTCATGACCGCCGCTCATGCAGCCATGGAACAGGTTACTCAATCTTTTACATTCGTTTTCCTTATTTTCGTCATCGAAGCAGTGTTGTATGATTTTGCTGTAGTCCAAGGTAGTCATGAATTCATGAATTCAGGTTTTGCTGCAGCACGTATAAGTCTTTCGTGACAAATTTTTATGGAATTTAAAACAATAAATCTTATTTGATTACTTCAAAATGTTCTTTTAGAGATTTGTCTTCAATTTATGTATTTTTTTACCATATAATAATAGTGTTTTGACAAACTTATCTTTCTCGAGATCAATTTTTTTGTTAACAATACGACAGATATTCATACATGCACAAAACTAAATAATTGATACGACAGACATACGTACAGCACAAAAATAAATATTGTAATTTATGTATACCAACTCCAATGACTATTCATTATAAAATTCAATACTTAACATACTTATTTTCTACCTTCAAGCTAAAAAAAACTATCATACTTTTTCGAACTAATCGATTCTACTTTCAAACTAAAACCATACATATCTAATCTTAGAACATATTACACAATAAGTATAGCTTACAACATATACAACGTTATGTCGTTAACGAATGTTCCCGCACGCAAGGTATTTAGAGCATCATTATTGGTGATAAAATGTGGGTATCACAAAGAATAATTTAGTATTAATTTTAATAGTTTTTAAATCTTTGAAACTCATTTAGTATTTTCTAAAATTTGTATGTTTAATGGTGATACTCAATGTGTATCAAAAGA